AGCAACAAAATGAAAACAGGGCACAATTGGCTAAAAGGTCTGGGATTTCTTAGAGAGCTAGCAGGTCCCATTTTCTAGGTATGTGCACGAGGCCAACACTCTAACCACTGACCAACACAGGCCAAGACTGGCTCAAATACATTTTTATGTTTTAAGCTTTTTTGTTTGTTTGTTTTTTAGAGAGAGTGGAGGAGAGGAGGAAAGACACAGAGAGAGAAAATCAATGTGAGAGAGACACATCGATTGGTTGCCTCCAAGGTATGTGCCCTTGACCAGAATCGAACCTGGGACCCTTCAGTCTGCAGGCAACGCTATTCCACTGAGCTAATCAGCTATGGCTCAAATACATGATTATAAAAATTCAAAAATATTTTTAAATTCAAAATAAATAAAAATCAAAACTGACGACTACAATAAATAAAGTGAAAAATACACAAAAGAAATCAAAGTCAAAAGAACAGACCAGTGACATCGAAGATAAGGTAATAGAAACTACCCAACTGAAACAGCAAAAAAGAAAAAAGAATTTTAAAAAGTGAGAAGATATTAACAGACCTCAGGGACAAAATCAAGTACACTAACATTTGTACTATAGGAATCCTAGAAGAGAGAGAGAGAAAAAAAGACAGAAAAAGCCCATGGTTACATCTCAGAGAATACCATCATTTAAGGGACAAGAAGAAGAAGAGGAAGCTCAAAGAAACCAAGGAAAAACAGAAAGTTAAGTATGCACTTCCTCTAGCTACCCATGTTGCTCTTCCAACAAGAAACTAATATTGCCCAATTGGTGTGGCTCAGTGGTTGAGCACTGACCTATGAGCCAAGAGGTCACGGTTCGATTCCCAGTCAGGGGACATGCCTGGGTTGCAGGCTCGATCCCCAAATGGGGGCATGCGGGAGGCAGCCAATCAATGATTCTCTCTCATCATTGATGTTTCTATCTCTTTTTCCCTCTGAAATCAATTTAAAAAAATGTTTTTTAAATCTTAGTGCTTTCTTTAAAAAAAACCACCAATGTTATGTATTATTTTTTAAGACATGAGTATATTATTTTAGAGGTTTCATGAATATTTAAGCAAATATCTAACATCTATACTGCAATTAGCTGTTCTGTTATGATGACATAAGCAACCTATGAAGAGACCCACATGGCAAGGAATTGGGTCCACTTGCCAACAGCCATGTGAGTGAGCCATCTTGGAAGCAGATCCTCTGGCCGCAGTTCAACCCTCAGATGAGCACAGACCCTCTTGGGACTGAAACCAATGAGAGATCCAGAGCAACCACCCAGCGAAGCCACTCCCAAATTCCCAACACAGAAACTATGAGAGAGTAAATGTATCTTGACTCAGCCACTAAATTTGGGGGTAATTTGTCATACCACAATAGATAACTCATACCATAGAGAAAAATAGAAGTTTCTGGCTCCAAATTTCCTATTCCATAAACCATACCATTTTTATCTTTTCCTGTGGGGAGCCGATATAGGATTAAGCCTCGGACTGACCTGTTGGCAAAGTCACAAACAAGTCCCAGCTTAGAGGGCACAGTCCTCTTAAGCACGATTAGGCTTGACCTTATGATGCTCCCCAGATCTTATCTGGGAAGCTAATGGGCTGAGGGAAGTGCAGGAAGTGGTCAAAACAAGTGAAACTCACAAGAACAGTGTAATTATGGTAACCACTACCTTGTTTACCTCTGACTATAAAATAAAGGCTCAGTTTGCCTCCGGATCTTTTTCTGTGGCCTCAGCCAGGCACAGGAAGATCCACGGAGACTAAAGAGAGCTAGAGAGTTCTGAACGCTGTCTTCATGTAAAACATTCTTCGCCAATACCGTCCACACCTTTGGGAACCCCTGGACCACTGGGCCTGGACCCCGGCACCCCAATATTTCCAAATTATCTCTTGTCTCTTCTCTTTCATTTGTGTGCGGCTCCTCTTCCAGATCCTGAACCCTGAACCATGCGGGACATGGAGGGAAACATTTACAACATTTTCCCTTTCCTTAAGCCATAGTCATCAAAATCTTGATGATAGATGAGTAAATTAATGCCTAGATAAGTTAATATAGTTGTCCAAGGTTACAGTGTTTAAGTGACAGAATGAAGAATATATTTAGGTTTTCTGACATATAGACAGTGCTCCTTCTATCCCCTCATGGTACTTTTAATAATTCTAAATAATTTATTTTTCATAAATCAAGCAAATCCTATAATAGCCACTCACTTAAGCTCTGATGATATAAAGATGAATGAGGCAAATCAAGTAGAAAGCAGAACTATTTAATGTTATCTATTTATTTAAAATTTTAGGTCCTTCCTATAGTATTTCATAACTTTATCACATAGTTTTTAATTGCTACCATCAAAAATTTTTTAAGACTTATCCATACTAACTTCTCAAATCATACAATTATTCAAATTAACAAAAACCTTTAAACAAAAGAATAAAATGACTGGAGGCAAGTAAGTGGGATGTGGAGCATGGAGAAAAATGTTCAGTATGTAAGACAAAGCTCTCAGCTTCCTAAAAACTGAAACAAATGAGACTTTTAAAAACATGAATGATTTCCACTATTTTTCTTGTAAAATAAAGTAAATAAGTATTATAAGTTCATGTGAGAAACTGTCTCCCATCTTTAAGAGTTTTTTCTAATATAAATCTTTTTATAAGAACAACTTTTACAAGAGTTTTAAAAAGGCACAAATACTCTTCATATAGACATCTAATAAATCCCCAGCCTGTATTTATGCCCCAGAAAGAGCCTGCCTTATCCCTATGCCAACCCAGGAAGGCAAGCCAGGCAAATGACTGGGCGCGTCTGACTCCATGAAAGTCAGTGATAACGTTGATTACTGATATATCCTGAATACCTCAGAAAAAAAAAAGACACTGATTTTTAGTTCCACCTCTGCCATGACACTCCCTACTGACCCTGGTCAAATAGCATAATGTCTCGTGTCCTAGTTTCCTCATTGTGACAGGCACTTTATGTGCTCATCAAAGCCCATTTTCATTTCTTCTTGGGCACAGGACTGGACTGAATTTCTCAGCCTCCCTTACAGTTAGGTAGGGCCACATAACTGATTTTTGATTAGAGAATGGGTGCAGGGTTGATGTTTGCCATAGCCAGTCAATCCTTAATTCTAAAAAAGCATTCTTTCATACTACTTAATGCCTTCTCTCTCTTTCCCTCCCTTCTCCTCTCTCTTCTTCTTCTTCCTCTTCTCCTCCTCCTCTTTCTCCTCCTTCTCCTCTCTCTCTCTCCTCTGTGTGCTGGATAAATGAAATGTAGAGAATTCAGTAGAGGACTCCAAGGCCATAGGAAAGATGGAGTCATCAGATGAAAAGAATTGGAGTCCCTCAATGACATTCCTACCCAACTTGCATTAGACTGCAGTGTAAGCAAAATAATAACCTGTGTGTGTGTGTGTGTGTGTGTGTGTGTGTGTGTGTGTGTGTGTAGCTACTCAATTACAACAATAAATCATCCTATAAATTCTGAATAATAAATCATCAATTAAATCTTATGATGTTCTGATTCAGAAACAAATAAAAATAGAAGCTACTTTGTTCTTTGTTTCCCTTTAGCTTCTTCTTAGAAGTTGGCTTCATATCATTATTTTTCCTGAAAAACACAGTGGAAGCTCCTACATGTAAAACCCAAGATGGCCTCCAACGATTGCCATCTCCTGGGATCCAAGTCCTTGTGTAGTCCCCTCCCACATGGTATCATGGCTGGATGGGGTGTGACCAATAGAATACGGCAGAATAAATAATGTGTAATTCCAAAACGTAGTCATTAAAGACATGGCAATTTGCACCTTGCTTTCTCTTAGACCATTTGCTCGTAGGAAACTAGTTGCAAAGTCGTGAAAATATTCAGCAGCCCCAGGGAAAGTACTACATGGCAAGACATTGAGACCTCCCCCCACTTGCCGGCCATGTGATGTGCCATCTGCGAAGCACATTCTGGAGCTTCAGTCAAGCCTTGAGAGGAGTGCAGCCCTTGCTGATAGTTTGCACACGAAGTTGCTCCTGAATTCCTGACCCAGATAAACTGTGACATAATCAATATTGTTGTTTTAATCCACAAAGTGTTGGGGTGATTTGCGAAACAGTAGTAGAAAACACAATTCATGATCCTGAGTGGTATGAGTTCATTACATATTTTAGATATTTGCCCTGTTTCAGATATATGGTTTACAAATATTTTCTCTCATTTCGTAGGTTGCCTTTTCATTTTGTTGACTGTTTCTTTTTCTGTGCAGAAGCTTTTTAGTTTGCTATAGTCCCACTTGTTTATTTTTGCTTTTGTTGCTTTCACTTTTGGTATAATATCCATAAATTATTGCAAGACTAAGGTCAAGGGGATTTTCCCCATGTTTTCATCTAGGAGTTTTATGGTTTCAAGCCTTACATTTAAGTCTTTAAACCATTTTAAAATCATGTCTGTGAGGGGTGTAATATAGAAGTCCCATTTCATTCTTTTGTATGTGAATATCATTTACTGAAGGAACTACCTTTTCCCCATTGTGTTCCTGATTTCCTTGCCAAATGTTAATTAACCACATATATATGTGTCTATTTCTGGGCTCTCTATTCTGTTCCACTGGTCTATGTTTTTGTGCCAATACCATACTCTTTTGACTATGATAGATATGTAATATAGTTTGAAATCAGGACTTGTAATGCCTCCAGCTTTGTTCTTCTTTTTCAGGACTGCTTTGGCTATTCAGGTCTTTTATGGTTCCATATGAATTTTAGAATTGTATTTTTTTATGTGAAAAAATTCTATTGGAATCTTGATAGAGTTGCATTGAATCTATAGATGGTTTTCGGTAGTATGGATGTTTTTATAATATTAGTTATTTGAATCCATGAACATGGGATATCCTTCCATTTATTTGTGTCTTCTTCAATTTCTTTCATCAATATCTTATAGTTTTCAGTCTTTACCTCCTTAGTTAAATTTATTCCTATGTATTTTTATGCTATTGTAAATGGGATAGTCCTTTATTTTTCAGATAATTTATAGTTTGTAAATTTATAGTAACAGAAACAAAAAATTTCTAGATTCTAACTAATGACATTCAATCATTAGTGAATCATCATAGCCTACAAAGAATCATTCTATTCATCTCCAAGTCACAGGAAGTTATATCCACACTGTAGCTAAAAGGATATGGTGTGGAATCTGTTGGTAATGGCAATTTTGAAGATTAAGCCTGTACCATGTAAGCTGTTTCTGACATCTTCTTGAAATCATTAAACAGGGAGGAAGACTCTGAAATAAAATAAAATAAAATAAAATAAAATAAAATAAAATAAAATAAAATGGTAAGCTAATATTTTTCTTAATTCTACTATTACCACAAACATTTTATAGCACCAGTTAAAAGACCATTGAACTATTCTCAAGAGAGTACAAATGGAACACATTTCTTCAACAGAATGATACACACCAATATGGTAAAGGAGAATATCTGCAATTCTGTAAAGCCAGTATGTGTTGTAGTAACAATAGTATCTAATTAATAGGGAGTCCACATATACCTTAGACCAGTTCATCCATGTCCCTTTCCTACTTATTTTCCACAAAGAGATTGTCTTACATTTTCTTAAAATAGGTCAAGAAGTTAAATAACTAATATAAATGACAAATGATGAGGAGAGTACATGTCAAAATTATCCAGAAAGAAGTTTGAAGGAGGATGCTATTTTTTTTTTTTGCATAAGAATCTTTGTCTCTTAAAATAACTTACTAAAATTATGCAGTGGAGTTCCAGTGCATATAGCTTCATCCACAGAGGGGGATACATTGGGCAGTGAGTGTCTTTCCCAGGTGGGTAGTTGACAAAATTCCTCCAGCAGTAATCATACTCTAAGGAAACACAAATCATTCAACAAATACCAAAAAAAGTTACTTAAAGAAAGCTGAACTTAAATACCGGTGTCTCCCAAACATGTATACACACTTTCAATAATTATTAATTCCAATGGGTTAAATCTGAAAAGAAAGAAACATCAATTGAGGAGACCGTTTTGAAGTAGTGGCTGCATCAACATGTCCCGTGGTTCCAGCGCTGGTTTTGACTGCCACATTACCATTTTTCACCCAAGGGCCGGCTTTACCAAGTAGAATATGCTTTTAAGGCTATTAACCAGGATGGCCTTACATCAGTAGCTGTCAGAGGGAAAGACTGTGCAGTAATTGTCACACAGAAGAAAGTATCTGACAAATTATTGGATTCCAGCACAGTGACTCACTTATTCAAGATAACTGAAAACATTGGCTGTATGATGACAGGAATGACAGCTGACAGCAGATCCCAGGTACAGAGAGCACGCTATGAGGCAGCTAATTGGAAATACAAGTATGGCTACTGAGATTCCTGTGGACATGTTGTGTAAAAGAATTGCTGATATTTCTCAGGTCTACACACAGAATGCTGAAATGAGGCCCCTTGGTTGTTGGATGATTTTAATTGGTATAGATGAAGAACAAGGCCCTCAGGTGTACAAGTGTGATCTGGCAGGTTACTACCGTGGGTTTAAAGCCACTACTACTGTGGGTTTAAAGCCACTGCAGCAGGAGTTAAACAAACTGAGTCAACCAGCTTTCTTGAAAAAAAAAGTGAAGAAGAAATTTGATTGGACATTTGAACAGACAGTGGAAACTGCGATTACCTGCCTGTCTACTGTTCTATCAATTGATTTCAAAACTTCAGAAATAGAAGTTGGAGTAGTTACAGTTGAAAATCCTAAATTCAGGTTTCTTACAGAAGCAGAGATTGATGCTCATCTTGTTGCTCTCGCAGAGAGAGACTAAACATTGTAGTCAGTTTACCAAATCCATTACGCCACTTGCCTGTGTGTTTGGTAACAACAGATGAACATTATGGAGGTCCTTGGATTGAAAAAGGAACCTCTCCCACTTCTCCTGTCACTGAACGGTAGGGCTCTATATAAATAAAAACAGTGCTTTTGGAAAAAAAAAGAAAAGAAACATCAATTGAGCAGCTGTTAAGTGTGTATACATTTGGGGGGGGGGTCACTATATATCCTATATAATAAAAGGCTAATATGCAAATAGACCGAACAGTGGAACAACTGGAACAACTGAACAATAGGTTACTATGACGTGCGCTGACCACCAGGGGGTGTGCGTGGAACATGGCGGGAGTCGGCCATGGTGGTATGGTGGAGCAGGTGAGCGGGGGCACCAGACCAAGGTGGGGTGCCAGTCGCTGTCATCAGGCAAGCCTCTGGTGGTTACTAAAAATTCTTTGCTCCCATGTGCTGCAGTCCCGCCCGGTGCTTGCACCTGCTGCCAGTGCTGGCCTTGCTCATACCTGCTGCTGGTGCCAGAGCCGCTGCTGGTGCCCGGAGCTGGTCTCAATTGCTTGGCACCATCAGTGGGTGCAAGGGGTCGCTGCCGGCCATGATCACCCCAGAAGGCTTCTCCACCTTCCTGAGGGCAATCCGGGCAGCAGCCACCACTCGCACCTGCTGCTGGCACCAGCCCCAATTGTTCCAGGCCATAGGGAGGCACCATCAGCGCATGGGAGCAGGGGCAGAGGGAGTGGGGCTGCCGGCAGACAGGGGACCAGGGGCCGTGGCAGGAGGGGCTGGGCAGGGGAGCAGAGGATGGGCCGAGACCCGCCTCTGTGCCTACTGCAGCCTCGCATCCCACAGTTCCTTTCAAGGTGCACAAATTTGTGCACTGGACCCCTAGTATATATAACATATCTAAAGCCCTCTGGCCCATTTGCTACTTCAGATGGACTAGACTCTCCCTGAATCCCTGAAAAGAACAAAACAGTTCATTCAAAGATGGCTGAGAGGCCATAATGGCAAAGTAGAAAACAGAGTCGTATTCTTTTGATACTTTCCCTGCTATGGATTTCAGACCTTGTGCTTTCTATATGATTTTGAACTTTTACTTCTGAGACTTCTACTCTGGGATAATCAATCTCCTGGCTGCCACCACAGTCTCTCATAAACACTTAAGTTCTTGGTTTATTGTTTTTACCTGGGGTTGTCATGATCTGGACAGTCACACCACTCTTAATGAGGTCCCTGAGTCCTTGTCGGTTTTGTTCATCCATGTGGTGATAAAGCCGTGCCACATAAATAACTAAAGTCACACCAGGTCGTTGACGCAAAAATTCTGTAATAGCCTTGGAGCATTCCCAGCAGGGACTCCAGGATAAGAACCAGATGATGGAGCAGCTGGTGGATGAGCAAAATTGTCTTTCTGAAGTAATTTTTTCTATAAAATTGACTTCAACGTGCCTGGTGGTGTTTTTGCCTGAGTGTCGCCAGATCTTGTGACACGTGCCCCACTTGATTTCATAGAGCAGACAGGCCTCTTTACGGAGTTCTCTGGGGTCAAAGATTGCTTCAAAGTCCCAGGGTTCGATTCTTCTCCTAAAATATTGTCATGCAATTTTTAGAGGAAATTTAAAAATCATTTAATGCTCCCTTTTTCTATAAGGAAAATCTAAAACATGAATCTTGGGATACTTTTTTTTTTCTCTATATCTAAAAGTTATTTGGGGAGGTCTGCTTGAATTATCAGAGTTTCTGTCACAAACACAGTAAAGATATTTTTTTCCCAACTCTTGTTATTTGGTTACCACTCCCTCTATACCATTGCTTATTAGTCTTGAATTCAGGTATAAATGTGTCCTTTTTCTCCTTATATCCTAATCTTTCTGTTTCACTCTTAGAGGTGCCATGTTCTAATTGTCAATATTTACTATTCCTCGATGAACTCCAACTAGATTTTCTCAGGCGTAGAAGCCTCAAATCTATACTAATAAAAGGGTAATATGCTAATTAGACCAGACGTCCTTCTGGACAAAGCCATGGTGGCAGAGCCAAGGCAGAGGCAGTTAGGAATTATCAGGCCGGCAGGGGAAAGTAGTTAGGGGGATCAAGCTGGCAGGGGAGAGCAGTTAGTGGGATCAGGCCAGCAGGGGAGAGCAGTTAGGGGGATCAGGCTGGGAGGCAGGTGAGCGGTCAGGAGCCAGCGGTCCCGGATTGCGAGAGGGATGTCCAACTGCCAGTTTAGGCCCCATAGGGATCGGCTTATGAATTTTGTCATAGGAATGGGTAGTTGGAGAATTTTTGTGTCTATTTTTGTTAACCCATTGGAATTAACAAAGAATTTTTAGTAACCGCCAGTAACCCATAGGGATTGGGCCTAAATCGGCAGTTGAACATCCCCTAAGGGGTCCTGGATTAGAGAGGGTACAGGCCGGGCTGAGGGACACCCCCCCCCTCCTGTGCACAAATTTCATGCACCAGGCCTCTAGTCAATAATAAAATTCTATTGCCAAGCCTAAGAGGAGAGTAATTTAGCCTCAGGATTCCTCCATATTAAATTCTATACACTAGTACCTCATAAGAAAGAAATTCAACTTGTTGTCAATGGCATCTCCTTGTGTCCAAGCTGTGACTTAGGAAACTCAGGATTGTGCTGAGGACTTTCCTTTCCAATAAGCTTGTTACACTCTAATAATTTCTCATTCACCCCTAAAGTATCACATTCATTTATTACATAAGTAAGTCCTTCCACCATCATAAGATAATATATTCCTTGACCAAAAGTCCCCTGTTATAATGATATGTCTGGAAAATGGGCATATAATATAAAACAGGAATTGAAATGAAAGTGACAAATCCGTTCCTTGGACCTTTCACTAATGGCTATAAAAACATGTGATCTAAAGAGAAAAGAGCATTAGTAAGGCAATAACAGAACAAAGCTGGAAGGTCATTTATTTCAACAGAAACCAAAAGACAGGAACAAACACAAAGAAAGCAATAATCATAGAGAATAAAGTTGGAAAAGGGGAAAAAAAGAATGGGAACATGGTAAAAGAGGAAAGGAACAATAAGGTTAATTATAGTCCTCCAGCTCTTAATACCCACTTATTCCTGGTTGAATTAAATGCACAATATGACAGTATTATTCTTTTTAAATTTTTAAATTAATTTTTAGAGAGAGAGATTTTTTGTTCCACTTATTTATGCATTAATTGACTGATCCTTGTATGTGCCCTGACTGGGGAGCAAACCCATAACCTGGCATATTGGGGCAATGCTCTAACTAACAGCTACTGGGCCAGGCTGACAGTATTATTCTTACCTCAAGGTGGGATCACCAGCTGAAGAACCTGTTGACCAAGAGATGAGTATGTCAAGTAACATATACAAATGGAGTAGCACTTTTAAAATATATTTTTATTGATTTCAGAGAGGAAGGGAGAGGGAGAGAGATAGAAACATCAATGATATAGAAGCATCAAACAGACTGTCCAACCTATGAGGCAAAGCAGGGGGGTGGGAGGAAGAGATCAACCAAATGCACGAATATGAGCATAACCAATGGACACAGACAGTAGGGGGGTTAGGGCATGTGCTGGGGGGTGGGAGCGGCTGGAGGAGGTCAATGGGAGGGGGAAGGAGACTCATGTAATACTTTAAACAATAAAGAATTTAAATCTAAAAAAAAAGAGAAACATCAATGATGAGAGAGAATCATTGATCAGCTGCCTCCAGCAAGCCCCACACTGGGGATCAAGCCCGCAACTCGGGCATGTGCACCTGCCAGAATATGAATCATGAACTTGCAGTTTACAGGCCAATGCTCAATCACTGAGCCATAATGGCGGGGCTTTAGTTGCACTTTAAAATGACAAAATTTTAGAAGTAAGGACAGATAAATAGTTATCAAGGATTAAGAACAGGGGTGAAGCAGGAAGGAGGAGGATTTGGCTATAAAAGGGCAATAAAACAGATCTGTACTGTGGGAACTGTTTAAATCTGACTGTGGTGGCAGATACACAAACCTATACAGGTGACAAAATTGCATAAAGCTAAACACACACACAAATGACTACAAGTGAAACTGGGGAAATCTGAATAAAATTGATGGATTGTGTCACTGTTAACATCCTGGTTGTGATATTATTCTACAGTTTTGCAAAATGTAACTATTGGTGGAAACTAAGCAAAATGTACAGGGAGTCTGTATTATTTCATAAAGCTTTATGTTTTAAGTTACGATTATCTCAATTAAGATTATAACTTACAGAAAGAGTCATTGGTAGTGTGGAGAGAAGCTGGAACACCATTGGCTTAATGTACACAAATATTTTTAAACCACAATTCGAGAGAAAGGAGAAAAGACATCTGCATAAGTGATGAGTTTAAAAAAAGGGGGGGGGCAGCATTGTCAAAGAGCATGTAGAAAAATATTATTGAACTAGTGAAAGAGAACCCGATTTCGATTGGAGCCCAGTGGTTACTGAGGCATTGACAGCAAAATCCTGCTGCATAGACAATCTCAAGGGTGGCAAAATTCTCCCAAAACTGATATCTGTATTATTTCCAATCACATCATGCCCACACTCTTGCAACAGTCTCCTAACTGGTCTCCTTGTTTCCAGTCTTTTCTGCTTCCAGTCCAGAAGGCATCAAATGCCAGGTAAAAGTGTTTAAAGCTTTATTTCAATCATGTCTATGCTATTCGCAAGTTCTCCGGAGATTTTCTTTTACCAAAAGGTCGACCTCAATTTCCTTAGCCTGGCATTGAAAGCCCTCTCTATAACAGCACTTCAAATTTGCCTTCTAATTTCACTATAGATTATTTCCACAAACTCTTCTCTAATCTCATCAGCGCACTTAATATATTCCAAACACAACCTTTGTAAATTCTCTCAAAGTCTTTGTGTCAACCAACCTGGAAATGCCTTCCCTTTGCCAACCTAAATTCTACCTCTTTAGAATCCAAACTCAAATTCCACCTCATCTGAAAATCATTTTCTTCTACAGCCTGAAGTGTTCTACCTCTCCCATGAATTTTTCTAAAGTTAACTAACTAAACCTTAAATAATTAGCATGCCCTTGTGGTATCACTTCTGATGTTATTTTAAATTATTAATTAACAGTTGTATATTTAATTTTTCATTGTAGTGAAACAAGCATTGATTTAGTGTCATTTGTTTAAAATTATTTGTGGATGTCAATAGTTAGTATTAATAATTATAACAAATCTTATTTAACCAAGCACAGCCAGTCACCATTCAGCAGATTAATCTCCTTTAAAAAAAAAATAATGTCTACAGGGAGGCAGACAATTTTCAAATAAAGTGAGATTATATATTTTTTAAAATAGCATTAATGTAGTAATAAATAGGAAAGTTGGAAAATACCCAAGAACACAAGTAAGACACACACATACACACACAGAGTTTCTACACTTTTCAAGACTATGAAGTTTACAGGACCTCGATCCATTTTACCTGCGTCGGAAGCCATGGCGCTGTGTGCCACTGATTTTCTCCCCTGGAGCTATATATTGTGCTGATTGCTCCTGTCAACAACATGCCTTAAGATTGTTTCTTCGGGAGTGACTGCTGTCACCTGATTGAGCAGAGAATGACTCATTCCTGAGTCTCAGGCACTTACTGGGTGTCTAGACTGTACAAACAGGTAGCAGATTAAGAGAGAATTTGGCGTGAGGTTAGCATCAATGGGTTGACAAGAAAGCTTTTGGTGCAAATGATAAATGCTGTAGAGTAAATCCCTTAGGATATCTGAATTACAAAGTTCTTCCCTAATATTATATGAATTTTTTAAACTTTCCCTTTCCTTTAAATTAAGGTTAAGGCAAGACTGACGCATCATTCTTTCTTGGAGAGAACAGAGAAAGAACAACTAGAAGAGAGAATTTATTTATAACTTCCTCTTACTTTGCTCTTTGCCCCAAATCTTGTTGGAAAGGGGAGGGGCACTGACAGATGCAAAATCAGAAGGACTTTGACTTCTGACTCAGGTAATTAGGTGACAAGTCTTAAGTGATCTCTCTTCCTTCTTGAAACCAGAGCTAAATGTAAGGCCAAGTCCACTTATGTTTTTTTTATCCTCCCCTAAAAAGTGAATACTGCCCTAGCTGGTTTGGCTCAATGGCTAGGCAGGGGTCCTCAAACTTTTTAAACAGGGGGCCAGTTCACTGTCCCTCAGACCGTTGGAGGGCCGGACTATAGTTTAAAAAAAAAAACTATGAACAAATTCCTATGCACACTGCACATATCTTATTTTGAAGTAAAAAAACAAAACAGGAACAAATACAATATTTGTATTTGCATGTGGCCCGCAGGCCGTAGTTTGAGGACCCCTGCTCTGGAAGCAAGTAATAAATAGTAGGGATTCCTAATTTTAGAAACATAACAATTGTTCTACTTGGTCCCCAATCTTTTCTCCATCTACAAATCAATGATCTCTCATCATTGATGTTTCTATCTCTCTCTTCAACTCCTTTCCTCTCTGAAATCAATAAAAAATATAATTAAAAAAATAAAAAGTGAATACTCTACTTATTCCCTATTGCCATTGTCCCCTGTTGTCCAAAACCTGGGTCAAGCTCTCTGAGTTTTAGCATACACTCCCAGAACTGGGGTCACTCTCGAGACCTAAAGCTCCCTCTAGGTTCTCAAATCTACAGCCCCTGAACTTTGAATCTCAAATCCTATGGAGACAACACCCGATCCCTAAATATACGACTTTCCTGAACTATGAAAGTCAAACTGGAGCTTCCACAAGATGAAGCAGTTGTTTCAAGTGGCAGGTGAGAGTTGAAGAAGGAGCAGAAGTGCCACATCATAAATGAAGGTCATTTAGAAGCCAAGGATTTCATGATAGGTAGAATAATGACCCCCCATCCCCTCCACACACAGACACACAGATGTTCACCTCCTAATCCCTGGAACCTGTAAGTATAAAGGCAAAAGTAACTTTGAAGAGGTAATTAGAGTAAGGATCTTGAGGTAGGAAGATAATCTGGGATTGTCTGGGTAGTCCCAGTCCAATCACATAGGCCCTTAAAAGAGGGAGGCAAAAGAGAAGGACATGTGAAGATGGAAGTAGAGATGTGAATGATGTAATTACTGGCTGGAAGGGGACCATGATTCAAGGAACAAGGACAGCATTTAGAAGCTGGAAAAAGCGAGGAAATGGATTGTTCCCTAGAGCCTTGTGAAGCAATGCTGCCCTGATGACATCTTGAGTTTAGCCCAGTGAGACACTGTTTTGTACTCCTGACCACCAGAGTTGTAAGATAATTTATGTTGTTTTACACCAAGTTCATGGAAATTTGTTACAGCAGCTATAGGAAACTAATACAGTAAAACACAGTCATAGGGGGCACATAGGCAATAGTGAAGATGGTATATAATTTAAATTTGTGTCTACTAGAATTTCTATTGAATGTTTGACCCATCTTCTATTCTGTTTTAGAAAACTCAGAACTGCTCGGCTGGCATGGCTCAGTGATTGAGCACTGACCTATGAATCAGGAGGTCACAGTTTGATTTCCCATCAGGGCACATGCCTGGATTTCGGGCTCAACCCCCAGTAGGGAGCATGCAGGAAGCAGCCAATCAATGATTCTCTCATCATTGATGTTTTTATCTCTCTCTCTTCCTCTCTGAAATCAAAATATTATATATATAAAAGGATTTGCACTCTAATCTCTATAGCCTCTTCATTCTCTTTATAAGTTGCCCATATACACTGCTTCCCTACACTGAAATCCTAGCTAAACAAATAGATTGTTAAGAGTTTTGTGTCCAGCCCTAACCGGTTTGGCTCAGTGGATAGAGCATCGGCCTGCGGACTGAAGGGTCCCAGGTTCGATTCCGGTCAAGGGCATGTACCTTGGTGGCGGGCACATCCCCAGTAGGGAGTGTGCAGGAGGCAGCTGATCCATGTTTCTCTCTCATCGATGTTTCTAACTCTCTTTCCCTCTCCCTTCCTCTCTGTAAAAAATCAATAAAATATATATTTTTTTTAAAGTTTTGTGTCCATTTTATGGAATGATTCTAGCAGTTTGAATGTCCTCAGTGTCCAATAACAGAATAATGAATAAATCAATTGTATAATATGCTTGTAGTGGGTTACTATTCAGCATTTAAAAAAATCAATTATATCCATACATGTATCAACCTGTAATAATCCTATCTAATAATAGACAAACATGGTAATTGACTGTACCTTCACTACGCCTCCCATTGGCTAATCAGCGTGATATGCAAATTAACCGCTAACAAATATGGTGGCTAATTTGCATACTGCAGGCAGGGTGGGACAGTGCCATCCTGCCCTGCTGCCATCCGGGCCTGCTATCTGCAACCTGGGGCGGTGGGCGTCCATGTGCAACCCGACCCGGGGCGGCGTCCCAACCCCCGGATCGGCCCTGCTGTGTGCGAGACCCGGAGCAGCGCCCCAACCCCTGGATTGGCCCTGCTGTGTGCGTGACCTGGGGAGGCAGGGCAGGCACCGAGGGATCAGGCCTGCCATGCACCAGGCCTCTAGTCTCTGAAATAATAAACTGAGAGAAAAATAAACCCCAATATTGTTTCTATAAAGTGTACATATTTGTGAAGCAATGCTTTATACTGTTAATGGATCCCAAGCACATGTAGTAAAATTATAAAGAAATGAATGGGGCTGTGACCGGTTTGGCTCAGTGGATAGAGCATTGGCCTGAGGACTCAAGAATCCCGGGTTCGATTCCAGTCAAGGGCATGTACCTTGGTTGCGGGCACATCCCCAGTGGGGGGCGTGCAGGAGGCAGCTGATTGATGTTTCTCTCTCATCGATGTTTCTAACTGCCTATCCCTTTCCCTTCCTCTCTGTAAAAAAATCAATAAAATATATTAAAAAAAAAAAAGAAATGAATAGGAAAGATGGATACCAAATTCAGGATGGTGATTTCACTAGAAGGATGAGAAAAGAGACTGGGAGGGTTATGCAGGCATCTTCACATATATTTGTAATGCAGTTAAATTATAATAATCTACATTTTAAAAAGTAATGTTGGAGAGAGAGAGACAGAAAAGGAGAGAGAAACATTGATGTGAGAAACATCGACCAGGAAAAGTCCCTTCCGCATGGGAAGATGACGGTCCAGTCAGTAGAGCCAGCTGGCCTGGCTCTGTCCTGGTCTCCTGCCTCCAGCCCCTGACACTCTCCTGAGACCTCAGGCCTCTGGCTTCTGCCTTTCAGCCTCAGCTCCTAATAAGTACCTTCTGTGTCCCCCTGGCACACCAGGCCCCGAGGCCTGGGGTGAGAGACAGGCCCTCCTGGTGAACCTGGGGTGGCTGGCCCTAGCTAGGAATGGCTGGGACTACAGCAGGCTTTTTTCTCCTGGGGGGGTGGGCCCTGTGGCCCCTTGAGCCTCTAAAGTCCTGTCTGGGGTGCTGCCTGCCTACCTGTCTCTCTCAGGGAGCCGCAGCCCTTCATTGGGCCCGGGGACGCCGGATGGATTGTCTGCACTGACTCAGGCAGCCCAGCCGGGGGCCACCCCTCCTGTTCCACCCAGCCCCTGGTATCCACCCTCTGACTGAGCTTTGCATGTTCCACTAACCCGGGCAGGTGCCAGGTGGAGTCACCAGGCTTTCAGGTACCTCCTGACAGAACACTAACCTGACCCTGGGCGGGCCTGCAGCTCCCACCCCAATAAAAGCAATTCCGTCCAAAAAAAAAAAAAAAAAAAAAAAAAAACACAAACAGAAGAAAGAAACATTGACCGGTTGCCTCCATTATGCATCCTAGTTGGGTATGTGTCTTCACCGGAAAATGAAGTCGTAACCTTTTGGCGTACAAGCGACACTCCAACCAATGGAGCCACCCAGCCAAGGCATAATCTACATTTTTTAAAGCCCAAAAATAAAAACAAAAGATCAGACTAAAAGTAGTAGCAATAATCCAGGGGGAATGGTGAGATTGATTTAAGGTAGTAACAAACTTTTCCACTTTAGTTCTCCTAACAAGGGAGGTAAGTAACCTCTTACTTCCTGATATAACCCAAAGTATCCTACTATGTGTAAAGTTCTATATTTGAAGTCCATGTGAATTTTGCATTTTACCCCATAATATATGCATATCATGCATATCAATATATTTTATACTAATTATAGAAGAGTTGAGTTATACTTTTAACTGAAAATTTTTCAAGATATGAACAATGATACCACTATTCCACCATGAAAATTACAAACACAATGCCCAATGACAAACATTTTCTTAACTAAAATAGGAATCTAAATAATTATATCTCTTGCAGCCATTAAATTAACTGTAGATATTGGTGATTTTTTAAAAATTCCTATAGCCCTGGTTGAGTAGCTTAGTTGATTACAGCATTGTCCTGATATGCCAAGGTTGCTGATTCAATCTCCAGTCAGGGCACATACAGGAAGCAACCAATGAATGCATAAATAAGTGGAACAAATCTCCTCTCTTTCTCTTTCTCTCCCTTCCTCTGAATCTCTCTGAAAACAATATCAATTACAAAATTCCTATGGTGCTTGCTTCGGCAGCACATATACTAAAATTGGAACAATACAGAGAAGATTAGTATGGCCCATGCGCAAGGATGACACACAAATTTGTGAAGCATTCCATATTTTTAAATAAAATAAAATAAAATAAAATAAATAAAAGATTCCTATGCCCTAGCCAGTTTGGCTCAGTGGATAGAGCATTGGCCCGAAGGCTGTGTGTGAGTGTGTGTGTGTGTGTGTGTGTGTGTGTGTGTGTGTGTGTAATTTGGGACATCATCAATCATGATGGATTTTCCAGAAAGACAAATTATAAACATATTGATATTTCATATCCAACAGCTCATAAACCAGGT